AACCTGTATGTGGAGCAAATAATCTGAGAAGCTGGGTTATATGAAGAAAAATGTGGCATAAGGATTGAATCCATTAACAACTTGCGATATGCAGATGATACAACCTTGCTTGCTGAAAGTGAAGAGGACTTAAAACATTTACTGATGAAGATCAAAGAGCACAGTCTTAAGTATGGATTACATCTCAATGTAAGAAAACAAAAATCCTCACCACTGGACCAATAAACAACATTCTTATCAACAGAGAAAAGATTGAAGTTGTCAAGGACTTCATTCCTCTTGGATCAACTATCAATACTCATAGAAGCAGCAGTCAAGAAATCAAACGACGTATTGCATTACGCAAATCTGCTGCACAAGACCTTTTTAAAGTATTAAAGAGCAAAGATGTTAGCTTGAGGACTAAGGTGCGCCTGACCCAAGCCATGGTATTTTCAATAACCTAATATGCATGCGAAAGCTGGACAATGAATAATGAAGACCATAGAAGAATTGATGCAGTTGAGTTATGGTGTTGGAGGAGAATATTGAAAGTGCTATGGGCTGCCAAAAGAACAAACAGATCTGTGTTGGGAGAAGTCAGCCAGAGTGCTCCTTGGAGGCCAGGATGGCCAAACTTCGTCTCTCATACTTTGGATATATTGTTAGGAGGAACCAGTCACTGGAAAAGGGTATCATGTTTTGTATGGTAGAGGGTCAGAGAAATAGAGGAAGACCCCCAGCGAGATGGATTGGCAAAGTGGCAGCATCAATGGGCTCAAGTGTGGCAACAGTTGTGAGGTTGGCCCAGGACTGGGCAGTGTTTTGTTCTGTTGTACACAGAGTTGCTGTGAGTCGGTACTGACTCTATGGCACCTAACAACAATCATTCTTTTGCCTTCATTAGCACAGGAATTTAATGTTTAAAGGTTTCCTTCATACAAATAGGAACTGAAACCAGCTTACTTTTATACAACAGTGGAAACAAGGATTTCCTGTCCTTTTGTTAAATTAAAAGTGTTCATAATTATTTCTCAGGGTAGTTAATTAAGATTATGAAGTGCTTAGGGAGTTTCATAAGGAAATATATCAAGCTCTGTAAGATGAAAACCTAGATTTAAGAAATTAATACAAATGCCAGTTGAACATAAACCCTGATAATTTCAAATATACATGCAAATTCCAACCAATACAAAAAGTAAAAGAAGAGATCATTTAAATTCACTAATCAGATTAGAAGGCATTGAAAATACAACTGGGGAAGGGCTGCCTCCTTGGGGTAGAGTTGACCATAATGAAGTGGATGGAGCAAAGGTTTTGTAACCATCATTTGCTGATGCAGCATGGCTTTAAATGTGAAGAAACAGCTGCAAATGTCCAGTGACAGAGTGGCAACAACAATGGATTCAAACATAACAACAATTTTGAGATTGGTGCAGGCCCAGGGTGGTGTTTCAATTTGCTATATACAGGGTTGCTATGATTCAGAACCGACTCAATGGTACCTAACAACAATGGCAACTTGATTAAAAAAATATAACTGACCCTTGCCAGTATAGAAATATAACAGCATAGAAACCGAATGAAACAGCCACCTAGCTGTAGCTGACATCTGACAGTGTGGTGACTAAAACGCTTACACCACCAATGGAGTGAAATCTTATTTATTGAAAAATTTGTTTGTGAAAGAGGCTTAAAATTTTCTACTTATATTTTCATTGAGTGGCTCAAGCTGTTTTGATCAGAAAGTCTCCCAAATGAATGTCTAGTGTTACTAGAAATAGACCTGGATAATGGGTCTGCAGAAAACTACAGATATTCTGTAAAATGCTTTTTTTTTTTTTTTTTTTGTAAAATGCTTTTTGAAGTCACTCAATTGTACCAACAAGAGATGCCTGCTTCTGCAGCTGCTGTGTTCAGACAAGTTGTTTTCTACTCATAGTGATCCTGTACAGGGTTTTCAAAGCTGTAGATCTTTAGAGAGTAGCAGAAATCCTCACCTGTCTCCCATGGAGCAGCTGGGGAACTTGAACTGGTGACTTTGCAGTGAGCAGCCCAATGCACAACCCAGGACACTAACAAGGCTCCAGATTTGGCTACTGTTAACTTTTTTTTTTTCCCCTAAGTAAATTATACTTAGTATACTTAGTATGAACAGTACCAAGGAGCTCTGGTAGCGTAGTGGTTACGAATCGGGCTGCGAACCTTAAGGTCAGCGGTTCGAAACTACCAGCTGCTCCGCGGGAGAAAGATGAGGCTTTCTACTCCCGTAAAGATTTACACCCTCGGAAACCCTGTACTGGGTCGCTATGGGTCGGAACCGACTCAACGGCACTTAACAACAACAATGAACAGTACCATTTGTGGAACTGGTGTGGCGCTGTGGGTTAATGAGGCTTTCTGCTTCCGCAAAGATTTAAAGCCTCAGAAACCCTACAGGGTTGCAATGAGTCAGAACCAACTTGATGGCATTGAGCAACAACAAGATTTGTGAAATGATTGAAGGTTCCTATTCATAGTCTTAAAGAGCCCTGGTGGCACAGTGATTAAGCACTCAGCTGCTAATCAAAAGGTTAGTGGTTTGAAGGCAACAGTAGCTCCACAGGAGAAAGGTGTGGCCTTCTGCTTCTGTACCCTAAGGGGCTTTTCTACTTTGTTCTATAGAGTCAGCATGAGTTGGAATCAACTCTACAGCAATGGGTTTAGGTGTTTAATTCATATTCTTGGATAAAGTTTAGCATCTACTCTGCTGCAGAGCTTGATTTATTTCTGAGCTTTACAGAAATAAATATTTTTGACAGCGGTGCGGGGCTTGGATTATTCATTAAATGAAGACTTTCTTCAGGAAATCTGAACAATTCTTTTAGGTGGAAGCCTAAGTAAGACCCATGAAAACAGAACTGAATTGTATTCCGCTCCTGCCTACTAAGGTTGCTACAAATGGCTTTAATTCAGAATTCAAAAGATATTTCAAAGTTTGATCCCAGTATATATTCCCAGGCCCCTCCCAATAGATGAATATGTATTCATGGTGATTTAGGTTTAAGACCTATAATTTTTTAGCTAGGAGCTGCCCAGTAGAATTTTTTCAGAGTTGGAAATGTCCTATTCTGTGATGTCTAATATGGGTAGCCAGTGTGGCTGTAGGATAAGCACCTGAACCACAAGGTCAGTGGTTCAAACTTACCAGCCACTCCTTGGAAACCTTATACAGGGTTGCTATGAGCTGGAACCGACTCTGTGGCACTTAACAACAACAGCCATGTGTAGATAATGAACCCTGCAATGTGGCTAGTGTATTTGAGGAACGAAATTTGCTTAAAATTTAATTTTAATGAATTCAAATGTAAAGAATACTGAATGGACGTCCCATTAAATATTAAAACTGGTTTGCTTATAATTTGCATATACTTCCTTGGACATCAGTTTTAATATTCCATTATCATTATTAACATCAAAGTACATTTTGACTTTGAGTGCTAGGCATTGTTATACTTCATAGGGAAAGGCAGTTGTAACCCTTTCTATTCTAGGCTCACAATTTAAAAAGAGAAAAGGGTCCGTTTTTAACTTAAAGATGAGTCAGATTGTTTTAAATCTCTATAAATTGCTCAGGGTATTCTACAGTAAGCACAAACCGGCAGCAGATACTATGTCAGTGCAAGTAGGAAGGAGGGGAGCTTATAGCTAGGCTGGTGAACAGCAGGGCGCACGAGAAGGTCAGCCCCTTTCAGGGAGGTTTGGCTCAGGGGCTCCCAGGAACAGCAGCCAGGAGCTCCAGCCTTTCTCTTGAACATAAAACGGGAAAGAAAAGGCTTATTAGAGTCTTGTCCATTTCACTTGGAAACTGACGCTCTCTAACTCCTGAACTGAGACTCAGACCGATGCCACTGTATTTTTATGATACTAAATGCCGTTAACAGATATGAAAAATTTAAAGTTTTTAATGTTTGGGTTTAGTAAATGGGGAAGGGGGAGAGTAAACTGTGTGTGTAGGAGGGGAATGCATGGCCAAATTGATAACGTTTCCTACAGACCAAAGGAGCTCTGGTAGTGTAGTGGTTACAAATCGGGCTGGGAACCTCAAGGTCAACAGTTCGAAACTACCAGCTGTTCCGCTGGAGAAAGATGAGGCTTTCAGCCACGGAAACCCTGTACAGGGTCACTATGAGTCGGAATCGACTCCACAGCACATAACCACCATAGACTAAGAGATAAGGAAGGGAAACCTTCCTTGGGGAAGCCGTGAGGGGCTAAGTACTCTGCAAGTTGACCCCAAGGTGAGAGCGGAGAGACTCGGTTCAAGTCTCCAAAGGGCAGCTACAGGCAGCACAAAGTGACAAGATGGCCGCTGCTTCGCTGGGACATTCCGTGCAGGATACAGAGGCTGATTTGGGGTGTTACAGACCACCAGGACAGGGACAGGCCGAGTTAGCTGCGGGGAGAGGAGGCTGAAGGGAAGAGAAAATGGGCTGTGAGAGGAAGAGGAGAGGAAAGATGCGCGCGTGCGCGGAGGGTAGCCACGCGGGCCGGCGGCCTTCAAGGGAAGGGCAGTGCCCGGGTCGGCGACTGGCCAGGGGCGGAAGGTCAGGTGGCCCATCAGGCCTGGGCAGCGAGACCGCGCGTTGGGCCCCGGCATCAGGCGGCGACGTGCGGGGCCGCTGGGAAGTTGGGTGCGCGGGAGCGCGCGTGCGCGTACAGCAGGGCCGGGCCGCGAGCAGCCGCGGCCGCACAGGTTCCTCCCTAAGCTGCGGTCGCGGTCGCTCACGATTCGGTCTTCGCGGCCACAGCCGCTGGCGCCAGAGGAGGGAGCGGTCTGGGCCCAGAACTTGTGAGTGGAGTAGGAGCCATTGGCTGTCGCGGCTACTTCCTTTTCTTACCTGGGCCATCTTAAGGAGCCGGGGCCAGACGGAACACGGGAGTGGCCCCGGGAGAGCGGAGACCGCTGGAGAAGAAGGCGGCAGAGGAGGCGGAGGCGCGGGTCTGCCCTCTCCTGGAGCGGGGAGGAGGCCAAGAGGACCATGTCCGGGAGGAGCGTCCAACTCTCCACTACAGAACGCGTCGTCAAAGGTGCCAACCGGGCCTTCTCCTTGACCCGCGAGAAACGGCTCTCTGCTGGGCGATGGCTCCGGGTCGGGAGGGAGGGAGGGAGCGGAGGAGGTGCAGCCGCAGCCCGGAGGGGTTGGCGAGAGGGAGGCTGGGGGACCCGGACCGTGCCCTTCCCTGGGGGAGGACCTGGACGGGGTGTGGACCAGGCGAAGGCGGGGATCTCCAGTGGGAGCTCCTCTACGGGGACCGCGGCTATTTTCTGTTAACACCTAGACCTGCAGCTGGACATGGTCATTTATCTCTTGTTCGTTTCGCTTCCCGGTGGGACAGGGATTCCTTCTCCCCAGAAGGATTTGGAGCCCCATCTTTTTTTTTTTTTTTTTTTTTTTAATAAGAAAGACTCCTCTCTTCTAATGTCTCATCTAGGGTGGCGTGGGCAGGCAGTTTAGTAGACTCTTCCAAGTCAGATCCTCCTCCCACCCCAACACACACACCCTTTTTTTTTAGCGTCTGTATTAGTATCTCTTGGTCCACTTTCCCTAGGCCATCACAAGTCGTTGTTGTTATTTAAAGAAACGGTCATCTGTTGAAATATAAAATAAATCCATTTTATGATGTCGCACACCACCACCACCAAAAGGATTTACAGGTCTCTTGAAAGGATATTAGTGTTTTATTTTCCTCTTGTACTTAGCGACTGGGAGAATGATGTACCTTGATTCAGATGTCCACCGTGTTAGATTTTTGTTGTTCTTGTAAGGACAAAACACAAATTGTTCCTTACTAATTTTTGTAGGGATTTACGAAGTAGTTATTTCTGCCTTTAAATTAGCAAGATCTGTTAAACATAGCTACTAATTTGTGTGCCTGTTTTCTCTTTTGTTCAGCCATAAGACATAAGCACAAGCCTTCTCCCTATCTTGAATGTTAACAATCGCTTTAAAAGCACTAGTTTATAAGAAGGGACCAGAAGTGTTAGTGGTCTTGGATGAATGTGTTAGGCTAGGTAGGAGAAAACTACTAAAATACTTTTCTTTTTTTCATTTTGGATTTAGAAGGACAAAGGAAACTAAGATTGGTGACAAGAATACTTTTTTTTTTTTAAGGGAAAAATACTACTGAATATTCAATGAAGGGGAAGAATTTTAGCTTATAACTTATTTCACCTCCCAAGATATCAAACATCATTACACTACATATTATTTAGTAAATATAATTGGTTTTAAGAATGATTTACTCAGCATTTATCTGGCACCATTAGGGAATTATTCATATAACTGAAGCTTATTTCCTTAACTAAGAAATTATTTTGAGCATTTTGATGCTTTATAGCATACAATCCATTTGGAATACATAACCCTCTCAAGATTCATAATGTACTAAACATAACCTTGTTTGTAAATCAAGGTCATCATTATGTACATTAATTTCTGTCCTGTGCTGTTAATATGGCCGTTGTATTCTGCTGTAGAAGGGCAGTTGGTGGTTTCTTCTCATACTAAAATGACTGCTACATTTTTTTAGGGTTTTTATCTATTCTGTTTTGTTTTTTTCCAAACCAAAGCTTTCACATATTTATTAGCCAGCCTTTTAACGTGGAAGCATAAAAACGAAGGAAGAAACTGGAAGTTCTGAATACATGTTCAGTTGATCAGACCTTGACAAAATTGAACTTCATATGGTAGCGTGCTGGAACCTAGGTACATTATGTGCTATGCCATCACACGTGTGACTCCTTATTGACACAGCTTGATTCTTCTCCAATGTCTTCTCTTGGAGTTGTACCTGATTTTACTACCAGTTTTCATTGGAATCCACTGGAGAATGGGACGATTCTACTTTTGTTTCTTGACCAGGAATCTTTGGATCCTAAAAGTCTTATGAGAAGACATAGGTAAAAGGTAGTAGCACTCACATGATGGGGAAGAAAGGAAGAGCAGGTTTTTGTTTGCTTTTCGTTTCTCTGTCTCTGACAGATTAGTTTCTCTAATCTGTCAAAATTTTCCTTAATCTGCCACTTCTAAACTGAAGTAGTTAGGGAAACCAAACAAACTAAAATTGTGTGTCAAATTAGAATAAATAGCATCTGAGAGAGAACCTTTGTATTGCTGTGGTTAAGTGCTCAGTTGTTAACCAGATGGTTGGTGGTTTGACCCATCAATCGGTCACTCTGCTGGAGAAAGATATGGCAATCTGTTTTCATAAAGAAAAAACCCCATAGGGCAGTTCTACCTGTGCTATGGGGTCCTGGTGTAATGTAGGATAAGCACTGGACCTGCTAACGGCAAGTTCGGTAGCTCAAATCCATCAGCTATTCCATGGAAATGGTATACAAGGTCAATATGAGTTGGAACCAACTCGACAGCACTTAACAAAAACAACAATCCTATCCTATATGGTTCAACTATGAATTTGGAGTGAAGCTTAGTGACAGTTTTTAGACCTTCATGAATCTCAAATTCTGAACTCTGTTGTAGAATGTAATTTCCACTTGCATACCTTCATAAGGTATGAAGAAAATTTTTCTATTTTTAAAAGAAAAAGCGTAGTTAGAAGCAGATGCTGGTTTATTGCTAGACATACTTTAAGTAGAGCATCAGCATTAGTCTACATAGGCAGAATTGTGATCTTTAGTGAAATTACAAAGTACTGTATGCTTTTAAGTTTACACTTAAATGAAACATGAGTGATATCAGGCCCTTCGACTATATAGCTTGATCTCATATATAAAAACTATAGCCCAAGAACTTGATCACAGCAGTTTTGATATTTTATGACTTATTGTTGCTCTATTTTGGGTTTTCCAATTTCAAATAGTTGAAAATTCTTTTAAGAAAGTAATGTGTCACTGTATTTATAAGTAGGGTTCATTGTATCAGGTACTGAATCCTAATCTGATGCTATCTTGTCTGGCCAGTGTTCTCTGCATCTATTCACAGTTTGAAAGCTTTTTAAGAGGTGGAACCACACCCCAGTTATTTTTAGTTCTGTCATTTCCTGTTAACTTTAAGAACTACTTGTTTTGTTTGAACTAATCTTGAAGGGTAGTGGGTAGGTGGTAGTGATTTATATTTTTTAAATATCCTCATATTTTATGAAGTGTCCTTTAGGAAAACTGTTCAACAGCTTTCACTGGTCTGGTTGTTAGAAAACCTGCCTCCTGCTGCTGGAGCTTACCTTGTCTTTTTATTTACCAGTGGAGATTACATTCTGCATAGAGTTCAGAATTTGAAATTCATGAAGGTCTAAGAAGTGTCACTAAGCTTCACTTCAAGTAGGGTTCACATACCAACCCTGTCAAACATCTGGATCATGCAAGTGACTTAACGGTTATGAAAAACTTAAGAAAAGGTGGTATTATGAAACATGATGGTTAATGACAGACTGTTTACTACATTAGTTAGTAGAGAAATCACTAACATATGAAAAAATCAGAATTGGAATGTTTGAAAATTATAACATAAGTTAGGAAGATGTTCCCAGACAGGAAGATACCTATCAGAGTGGAGCCTCCTAGGTTACATTGTGAGGAGAGTAATGTAGCTCTGTTTAGTACTTCCCTGGAAGCTGGATTCTTCTCTAGCAGAAAAAGGTGTTTCTTTTCTGTTTAACAATTCTTATGATTTCACTCATTCCCTGTTTATTGCAAAGCATCTGCATTGCACTCTATCAGGTACTCATTTATTTTTTCTTTGCTTTAAAAGTTAACATTTTTGATGATCCTCCAGAGCAGTACTGGGACATTGCTCCAAGTATCTAAATCAGAGAATTAGCAACTCAAATGATTGAACGATGACATTTTTTTTCTTCCTAATTTCTGTGTCTTTTTCCCTATTTGAACAAACTTTTTTTTTTTTTTTTTTTTTCTTTGACTGATTTTAATAAAACTAACTTATTCCTCTGGAAAGCAAAAAGAAATTTCAGTAAGGTACCACTGTCCAAGTTTGTTATTTGGTGAATGAATGGGGTTTAATAGAAATGTTAAACTTCTTTTTGGTAAGATGCTGATACATTTCTACTGTTTTCCTGGGGATTCAAGTATATTGTGATTCACAGCATGTACTGATGTCATTTGTATCACATATGAGAGGCAACTGGTTCTTTGTTTTCCTGGTTCTGGAAACAGGATGGCTATGTGCAAATGGTTTGTACTAGGTTGCTAACCAAAGGGTTGGTAGTGGAAGAAAGGTCTAGCAATCTGCTTCCATAAAGGTTACAGCCAAGAAAACACTATAGAGCAATGGAACAGTTCGACTCTGTAGCACATGGGGTCACCATAAGTTGGAATCAGCTCGATGGCAGTGAGTAAGTGACTTTCTTAAAAGATTTTAAGAAGAGTATTGTTGGCAGAAATTGCTATTTTCTTAAATATACCCTGAACCCTATTTTATTCTCTGGTATATACTATATTCATTACCACAGCTTTGGCCCCTTTTCCCTTTTTTTGTGTGTTAGGAGAATGGATTTAGTGCATTAAGTGTTTTTCTTTTTGCTTTTAAATCTAAAAGCCTAAATCTGTTAATTATAAAATTTAAAAAGCACTAAAAGGTAGAACGAATAGAAAAAAAAAAAAAAAAGATTTCATATTATTTTCATCCAGAAACAACTGCTTTTAACACTTTTATGTATTTCCATCTGTTGATGAAAATCCAAAGGGAAATGGATCATATTAGCATACATCGTGTAATTTTATCTAAATACTTCCATGATGGTTTCAATCAGCATGAAAATAGTTTGAAAAATGCTTATATTCAGATCTTGGTTCTTTATATTTCTGGTGGTGGTTGCTGTTACGTGCTGTCGAGTCAGTTCTGACTCATAACAACCAAGTATGGGGTTTCCAAGCAAGGAGTGACTGGTGAGTTTGAGCCACCGACATTGCAGTTCAAACCGACCTTGTGGTCCGTGCTTGTCATACAGCGCTACAACAGGACTCTATATTTTTGGTTAGACATACACTAATCATTTGATAAAATACCAATCTGGAAGAAACAGCTTTACAACATTTCTAAGTATAACATTTTGATGTTAACCTTATGGGGCATATTTTTGGTAATTGTCAGCAATATTTGTTTAATTTGTGCTTAATTTACTATTATAATTAATAAGCTGCCAAATTACTGAAACACTGGAAATGTTCATACCTCTGTGTCACAGACTCAGACATCAAAAAGGGCATCTTAATGTAAACACTGCTTTTTTGAGTTGGGGTAAGGTTCTTTTTG